CGGCCCTTCGAGGGACTTCTTTCTACTTTATCAGAGGTTTGGCTGCAGAAGGTTGCACCTGGAAAAGCTCGACAGAACGAATATTCAACAGTTGTTCTTTGAGTGTGAAACAGTAGCTCTATCCAGTCTTTTGTGGCTGGGGTTTTTTTTTTTTTTTTTTTTAATTCATTACATCACCTCATTTTCAAAATTAAATCTGCTAAAAACATCATGATCAAATACCTTCTAAAAAAAATCCTCAGCACTTAGAAATTCTTTAAAGTTTGGCTGGGGCTGCTGAAGGAAAGTAGGTGTGAATTTCGGCATCAAGTATGACACCAGCGCACATTTGATCTCGTGAAAATGACAGCAACTGTCTGCACGAGGAAAGAGAGAGAAATAAAACCTCAAAAAACAATTGCGAAGCCATATGCTCTTCCATGTCCACATTTAGATCCAAAGTGTGATGAAATCACACCTCTTCCTCATTGGCTGTTTCATTGGTTGTCTCAAGATGAGAGAGCACCAGGATGAGCTCAGCTACTGCCTTCGCCAGCTGTGTTGTGATAGTAGTGGTTTTCTTGGTGTGGACATGTTATTAGAAGACCAAAGCAGCAGACAGAACCAAACTAGCACTCCTCAGCCAACGATCACATGACATTGTGTGGCTCTCAAGCTCTCTGGGAAGGCTTGTAGAGCATATTCAAAACACCTGGTCCAGCCTTTTGGCCTGGCTGGAGGCCAGTCAGGCAATGTGCTGTCGGCAGAAAAGCATTAGCCTCATATGGCAAAAGCCATTTTAGTCCCTCTAGAGTCTGCATCTTTTATGGAGACCATGCAATAGATACATTAAGGACAAAGAACACCAATGCTATTCACAGTATTGCACTAAAAAAGTGCATATTGGGAGATTGACTTCCCATAGTGGAATAAAAGGTAGCGTTATACTTTTTCTCATCATCCACTAGTTTCCAACTTCATGAAAATATTTGTTCTTCTGACTCTAGCTAAGCCAGTGCTCAGTATTAGGACAAGATGTTCCAAGCCTAAAATTATATTTGTTCACAAGGTGGTTGTTAAGTAGGTAGGTAACAGATTCATCCTGATTTGGCACTGTAAAGCGGAAAATGGCACATTGGCCGTGACATTTTGATGAACTACAGATGCTATGGAGTTAAGAAATTCTCTACATATAATTTTTTTATAAAAAGCAATGCCTGAAGGGGTTGTCAGAGAGGCTAAACAGAATTGAAGACAGAATTTATCAAATAGAGTAATTGTAAGGAAAGAAGAGGCAATCAACAAACAATGAGGAGAAAAAAAGAAAATGTCAGAACAAACAGATGAGTCCGAAATACTGCATAGAAAAGAACTAAAGCAAAACCAGAAGGAAAAGACAGTCAAACTAAAGTAGTGAAGTGAGAAATGAATGCTAAAAAGTTACTCTGAGTAACACAGAAGGACTTTGCCATTTGCTATATGTGAAGGTTTATGCCATTTTTCTTTCTCTTTCTTCCTTTTGTTTGTCAGCAAAAGTTCAGTAAGTAACATGGCTTCTGGAAAGGCTATAAAGAGAAGATAAAAATGTCAACACAGAAATGGAATGACTTCCTAATGGCAGAAAAAGAATGAAAGATGTGACTGTAGGAATAATAGAGTACGTTAAGAAGGTCAGTCTCTTCTACTTAATCTTGACCAAAATAAAAGTATAACATGACTCTTAAAAGGAAACACATCTGATAAGAATCAGAAGAATTTTTTTTTCACACATATGTAATTAACTTGGAGTGCTGATTGTGAGTGGGCATTTCACAGACATGAGTTTTTTAATACATCACCTGTTTGCATGTCTACCAACAGCTACTGGCATGCTAGCTAAAATGGAATTGCAATGGCTATTGATCCCTGCATTTCACAGTACATTAGAGTTGTTCAGCATGCTAGGGGTGGGAGGAGATGCCAATAAAAGAGCAGAAGGGGTGGAGAACATTCTGTAACACAACCTCCAACCGAAGTAGCATTCAACCTTCTGCTGAGCTGTAGAGGAGGCCTGGAGCCAAAATCAAAGATTGAAACATAAAGGAGAAAAATTTAAAGCAGGAAAGGATAATCTGCTTCACAACAGCAGTAGTGTAGGTGGTTGGGAGAAAGAAAAGAAGAGAAGCTGAAACCAGGAAGAATTAATTTGTGATTAGGACAGTGAACTGGAGCTTATGGGATTTATATTCAAGCACAGCTTTGCTACACACTTCTTGAACAACCTTGAGAAAGTGACCTCAAGTGGGCTGAACAGAGGCATCTGGTTACTTAAACATGGGCAGCTTTTTGTACTCCCAGACGTGTGTCCAACAGCCTCCACAGGACTGTGGCTATCACATCTGTCATCTCTTTTGGGAACAGTGGGACATTCAAACTGGCACTAGACTCCCAGATGCGAGCACAACTCCCTTAGTCTGTCTTATTCTCTACATAAAACTGAAACAATAATGTTTGCTTTCTCTGTTCTTATTTCTTCCTCTTCCATTAGAATATGCAATATTTTACTGGCAGTTTCAGGCCATATTTGTACAGTCTTGATTTTGGCAAAGGTATCTAGGCATTATAACAAGACAAATAATAAGGAACAGTGATACGGATAAAAATAACACCGAGGTAATAAGACTGTGGGACAGTGAAATGAATTGCATTTTCAGCAGGCAATGGAAAAGGCAGGAGAAGTGTAACCCCTGAGGGAATGAAGGCTGTTTCTCCTCTATTTTCCTCTCAGTTCTACTCCAGGTACATTCTTTTCTCCACTATGCCAGCTCAGCACTGTGCAATATTTTCCTCCAAATAAAATAATGGAAACTCATACCAATTTTTTTACCTGAGAAGGATCAGCTGTAGGTAGAATATCCACAAAGAAAAAAAACAGAGGAAGGTATTTGAATGAATAAAGGGGAAATGTTCGGGGAGTGGAGAGAAAAGTTTTTTGTTTGGTTAGGGTTTTTTTGTTTGTTTGTTTGTTTTAAATTATCCATCAAGATAAGCACTTTAAGTAAATCTTTATGTACAGAAGAGGTTGCACAAGAATAAGGTATGCAGGTAACAAGCTACTTGGGGGATGTTGTAGGAACGGAAGCATTGTGTTACTGCACATTGCAAAACCAACCATTGCTCTTCTTT